AGTGCCTGCTTGTCAGCACTGTCATGTGTCAGGGAGACTCCCCAGAACATACTCAGAATCTAACCATATCTCACGATTCCCGCTGCCACCTCCTTCTGTCCAGCCCAAACCCTCCGCGTCCCACTGCCAGCCAGCACCTGGACTGTAACAGCCACAGCAGGGCTGTCCCTCTGCTACTATCCCGCGCCACAGTCTGTTCTCACCGCAGCTGCCAGTTATCCTGGGGAGCCACAGGGAGCACCAACCGCCTCCATTCAACTTGCCCCACTCAAAAGGCTCCAGCCCCTCCCCAGTGGCTCACTGCAGCCTCTACCTGTGGGATCACTAGCCTCCTGGAGGGCCGGTCCCTACCCTGGAGTTATTCCCTAGGAAGCCACTTTACATAAAATTGACCTCATGGCTCATCTGTTCCCAGTGAGCCCATGTAGGGAATCACCCACACCAAACTGCATTTCCTGTTGTCCCCCAACACTGCTCATTTCCCCTGGTAAGACTGACGATATCTCACATACAATCCATCCTAAAGAAAAAAAAAAAAAAAGGAAGCTCACCAAGGCCAAGAATTTTCATGTTTTACTCTCCACTGAATTTCAGCATCGGGGACAAGGCACACAGTAGGAGTTGGAGAAACACTTGGGAATGAACGAATGATGCCAGAGTGAGCATAAAATAACATTCTTTTAAATAGCTGCTTCATTGGCCTTCCAGGTAGGCATGCAGCTCCGGCGTCCCTAGCATCCAGCACTTCAAGGGCGCTTCTCCCCACTTAGGGGGGCACAGGCCCAGGTGTCACCATGCCCCTTTGTCTGTCCTGTCTGTGGCTCCTTCCCTCCATCTTGGAACCCAACTTCCTCCCAGCCCTCGCCCAGCGGTTAGCTCCCTCCCCCTCGCAGCTCCCGCACAACCTCCTCTGACTCTGAGGACCAGCGGCCTCAGACCTGGCCTGTGTTTTTCCATAGTTTTGTTTGGCTCCAGACCTGGTGCCAAGGACACCACGTTGCAGGTGCTCCACACGTACCAGTGAGAGAAGCAGGGAAAACCATACTGCAGAGCAAGATTCATGCATGGAGGAGCCAACCCAGCAGGAAGGCCACAAAGACCCAGACCCGAGGCTGCCAGCTGACCCTGGGCAGAGGTGACCACTTCTTCACCCTAAAACAGACAGGACACCTCCTCTCCCTACATGTTGGGAGGTGCTCAAACGAGAAGACTAAAATCAAATCTCCCAAGAGGTCTCTGTTATCGATGTGGATATCCTAGATTGTGCCCCATCTTTTTAATCCCAGATTTGATTCAGCAAACATGGGAATGCATGGGGTGAAGACCAGGAACACCAGAGTCGAGCCTGCCTCTGCTGGGTCACCATAGGCTGCCAGAGACACCGCCAGGTGGGTCCCCCAGAGAAGAAGCACTGTGGAGGGGGCACAGAGACACAGCCCCTCATCTGGCTACACAGATGGAAGGCTGAGCTCTATGACAGGCACCAAGAACAGAGTGGGTGACACCATGCCATCCACCATGCACACGAGGACCGGGAGCTCACTGGGGACTCTGGGGTCTACTAAGTTGTAGAGGCAGGAAATGCAGAGCCAAAAGCAAGAGCTCTGACATCTGTCCTCTGGCTGGAACAGGAGCAACCCTGTGCCCTCTGGAAAGTTACTCCCTCTGCCTCGGTTTCTACATGAATGCGGGTAAGAAGGCACTTGCCTATGGGAGTGTTGAAGAGAATTAAATGAGAGAATACGTGCAAGGGGTCAGAAGATGCCCTTGCCCATAGTAGGTGCCTGTTAAACTCTGGCTCCTGTCAGTGGTGTTCATGAGCCTGCGAAGTGTTTCCATCTATTTCTCCACCCTGACATCACACCCGCTAAGATTCCATGAGAGCTGGAAGTCAAGATGCTCAAAACACTTGGGAATCTAGGAGAAATCTAGGAGAATCACAGACAATCCTTCTCTGTGAGACTGATGAAGGATTCTAGCAAGTGGTCACTGGCTGATTTGCCCACCTCCTGCTTCAGCTCTGCTTGGATCTCTGAAGCCATGCCATCATCAAGGCTTCTTTTAGCAAAAGAAATTATATTCAAAGAGAAAAAAAATTGATTAAAACTACAGGGTAACATGGGGCCTCCCTGGTGATGCAACGAGTTAAGCACCGCACTATGAAGCAATCCACAGCCTCTGCAGCAAGAGTTCGATCCCCGGCCAGCCAGGGAGAAACCCACATGGCGAGGCAGACCTCTCCTGTCTTCCCCGCTGCTCCCCTCAGCAGTGTATTTCAGTCAGTCTCCCTGTTCTGTTCCCCATCCTGTCTCTGGTGGATCCTCTCATTCCCCACATCTCTGGCCTGTATCCCAGCTCTTGTATGCATAAATAAATAAATCTTTTAAAAAAAAAAACTACAGGATAACAAAGGGAAGAGATATAATGGGCAACTTCTGCACTGAAAAACACAAAATACATGAGATTTATAAGTAGCAAAATACATACTCAGTACTGAATATCAATAAAGGTACAGTGCTTGCCCATGCAGGACAGAAAAAAGAAAACTGGGGCATGTCTTGAGCTCTGTGTTTGCCAAAAATAATGTATCAAAATCAAGGCTCTGCCACAACAGTATGTCTGCACCTGCATGACCTCCACATCACTGTCATAGTTCTGAAGCAGTCTGGGTGGCTCTGAAGTGCTGGAGCATTTTCAAATCACACAGGTTTCTCCCACATTGTTCTACAATGTTCCCGGCCCAAGACCAACCACCTCACTTCAGGTGACACAAATGCAAAGTCACCTCAATCAGATGCCTCAGCCCAATAAAAGGAGGAGGGGGGTCACCCCATCCCTCTCCACAGTGGCCCAGTTCATAGGTGTCCTTTGCTCCAGATGCACCATGGAAGACTTGGAGGCTTGGACCACTCGTTCAAACGATGCCAGTACAAGTGCCCAACCACAGTCTAAAACACACCCCACCTGATCCCAAAGTTCAGTTGTGATCCCTACTCATGCCACCTCCAAGACTCCCTGAGCTCTCCTTCTAAACCCCAAGGAAAGTGGGGGCTCATCCAAGAATTCCAGCACTCTCAGGATGATGTGGCGCAAAGAGAATGCTAAAGAACTGATCGGATGAAGGACCAGGCAGCGCGGCGCTGAGGACAAAGAAATCAGCACGTTTACGGTCAATACTGAAAATATCAGGCCTCCATGGTGTTGCAAGGGGTTCAGCACAGCACTGTGAAGCTATCCACAACCTCTGCAGCAGGAGTTCAACCCCAGCCAGAGGGCTACCCACAGGGCGCAGTAGATCTTTCCTGTCTCCCCGCTGCTCCCCTCAGCAGTGGATTTCAGTGGATTTCCTGTTCTGTTCCCCACTATGTCTCTGATGAATCCTCTCACCCTGCACCTCCAGCCTGTACCCCAGTTCTTGTATGCATAAATAATAAATCTTTTAAAAAATACTGAAAATATCAATATCGCCTAGAACAGCATGTGCCAGGCAGGGCACGCCCCCCACCGCTGGTGGTGCTGGTGATGCTGGCAGATGCTGCCTTTACACAAACCAAGATCTGTGGTCCGAGAGTCCAGAGACCAGTCAGAACCTTCAAGCGTAAAGTATTTTTTAATGAAGCAAAGTTCATTTATTTGATGCACTGCACCCTCAGCAGACTATAGCACAGAATAAGCGTTCCCTGAGCTGCACTGTGGCGATTCACAATTGCGCTGTTTGCCTTTGTCTGCTGGTCCGGGCCAGACCTGGACATCACCCCGGTGCCTGCGCTCCTACATGAGGAGACTTGCCACAGCAAGCCAGACAGGTGAGGTGCAGCAGTGGCTCAGTGTGGGAGGAGCTAAGTGAGTGTGCCAGGCTAGCCTGATGTTCTTCAGACTGGACTGAAATCTGGGTATAGATGGCACAGAAAGAAGGCTCCAGAAGGCAGAGGAGAATGAGGGGATCCGTGGCAAGGAGAAAGAGAGGAATGGTCTGGGCACAGGAAACTGGCTTCAAACCAATAACAATTTCTTCCCTCAATCGACTGCACCTCATTTCAATGATGCAAAAGTGAATATAAGATGAGGAAATTCCACTCAGAGGCTGACTCAATTTTCAATCCAATTTTACCTAAACCAGATAAGAAAGGCAGGCTCTAGAAGAAAATGAATGTGTACAATTGAGCTGTCTTCAACCACCAGCCAGACCTCTCCTTGAGAGAAAATTCTAGGGCTTCTTCTTGACCAAGAATCTTGGTTTGACCAACAAATTGTTTCAGGCCAATGAAATCTACCACAAAAATACAGCCTTTTCCAAGGAGTCAAACTGAAACTTTGCAGTTCTTGTGGGGTGGGACTTTTAAAACAAAATGATCTTTTTCCACAGGATATTGTTTGGCTATGACAGAGTAAATTAAAACTAAATTAGTTCTTATTCAAAAACTCCATTTTCCTGTGTCGTAGCAAATTGCTTTTAGTTGGGGTTTAGAGAAGCAATGATTAATCACTTCTCCTTAACTACAAAGGCAGTTATCACGGCCTCCCCGGCAGGACTAAGTAGTCAGCCGTGCAGGCCACCAGCCTGGAAGGGGCCCCGCTGGGGCCCCAGGACCCCTGCCTCCTGCATTGCTGGACGCAGAAAAGTGTCTCAGTCACCCACAGGCATCTGCCCCCCCAAGATCTGGCAAGGAGCCCCATGTCCCTTGGCAGTTCTGACACAGAGCAAAGGCAAAGAAAGCAGAGAGAATACAGAACTCTACAAGGGCAGAAAAGCAGAGAGAATACTCTAGAAAGGCAGAGAAGCAGAGGAAGCAAAGGAAGAGGGGAGGGAAAGGAGAAAGAAGATGTAGGGAGGAGGGAGGCGCATGGTCAGGAGGCAACGACACTCTGGACAGAAGTCCCTGGAGAGAAGGAAAGTGGAATAGGGCCCCGCAGGCACCCCCAACATTGTGCCAGCGGCTGTGCCCTGACGCTGACTCTTTCCGGAGGGGAAGCAGAGAAGCAACGTCTCTGGCCCTTACCTGGATGAGCTCATCCAGCTCAGTGGAGTTGACGCAGGCATGCTGGGCCACAAAGGTCTGCTTCTGGATCACAATGGTGCTCCTCTGGGAAATCTCGTGCGGCTGCTCCAAGGCTTTGAACACAGTGGCCCCAATGATCAGGTAGAGCACGACCACCAGGAAAATCGTGGAGACCGTCTTCCATTTCATAACATTAATGGCCGTGTCGCTCTCCACTCGGGCAGCAAGCACGGTGGGTTTCGTGGAAAAAGAGAGCCTGGGTTTGGAGTTCTGAGCAGCAGATTTAGGATCCAGCAGATCAGGTGCCGCCACTGGCAAGGACAGAGAAAGAGGCTGGAGGTGAGGGGGGTGAGGCGACGGCTGCTCAGCAGCAGCGGAGGCGAGTCTGCTTGTCCTCCTGGGGGAAGCTCTGGTACCCAAGCGGGAGGGCTCCGACCACAGGCGTCCAGAACCTCATTATGTACAGGTGCAAGAAAAGGGGCTGGGTCTGAGCTCTCGGCCACTATCAGGCTTCCAGACGGGAGGAAGAAACAAGGAGGCGGCCAAAAAACTTACCAAAAAAAAAAAAAAAAAAAAAGAATGCCTGAGGTCTTCTTCCCAATGACCTCAGTTCTAGGCATCCATCTGCCCACTAGGCCGATCAACCAAGATGCAGTGAGTTCTGTAGGAGGTGCCAGCTCCAAACCAGGTATTTAAATAGGAAGACAGCACATGGACTCTATGGTTCTCGAGAACTTAAAGCGATCAAGCAAACAGTCTCTTTTTACTTTAAAATTCATTATAATAAAGGAAGTGATTCTAAGTCCACTGGGGACCCCAGCATTGTTTTTCAAAGTAAGATACTACAAGTCCCTGGTAGGTGAATAAGAAATACCCGAAACCCCAGCACGTCTCTCCCTCAACTTCAGAGGGGACTCATGACTCAGTCTGGTGTCTATCTTGTTGTTCAAGTACTGACATATTTTAAAAAAACAAAGTATAGCAACCCATTTTCGCGCCATCCTAATTGCTGCTAAGAAATAGCATGTTTTCCATTTCAACAGTGAACATTATCAAGAAAAAAAAATTAAAACCTCTCTCACACCTTAGCCCCTGCAAGCACCGTCTTGAGGTAATTACTCCATAAGAGGGGATATACTTGTTCTCCTATGAATCCCATGTACTCTGAAGTGACCCCAAACCATTCATTATTCATTTCAGTGGTTCAAAAACATCATTAATGGATTCCTAAAAAGAAATCTAGATACTGAAGTTCTGCTTGCAGAAGGGAAAAGAGGCATCTAGTACAGAATTCTGGATTGCAGTGGCATCCTGGTGCCAAAAGGGTTAACAGAAGGGGACTGAATAAGGGACTAAAACATCAGCCCCTCAACTAGAACTATCCATTTACTTCTCCAACTATCATAGCTATAAGCACAATAACACTAGGGGGCGTAATACAGGTTTGCGGAAGCCACAAAGTAATAATCCAAAAGACACCTGTAGGTAATTCTATATGGAATCTGTAAGGACTTCCACCCCAGTAGCCTACAGGCACCTGAAATGGATTGAGGATAAAAGGAGAATGAAGAGTATTGATTCTCACGTGGCTAATTTTTCACACACTCTGCAGCAGCACCGTGCTGCAAGTCCATGCAAGACGACCACAGCTTGAGCTCACAACAGAAATCATCAGTTGCCCATTAAAAAAGTTTTGCAACCAAGCTGTTTGAAGCTCCAGATCTAAATGTTTCCAATGATGGCAGATCACAGAGGGCTCCTCACCCAGCAAAGTTCTAGATGATTCTGACTTTGAAGACATGAAGTCAGAGGTCTAATGGCTCCAACTAGACAGTCCATATCCCTGAAGCTGTTCCAGCAACTTTCTGGGGTTCAGCCTGCTACACAGAGGTATGTTTCCCTCCTGAGGCAGCCACCTGCTCCAAACAGCCACAGACTGTACACAACTTTAACATGCCTGTTTATAAAGGCAACTGTACTCAACATTAGCACTGGGCAAGTGTTTAATGTTTTATTTTTTAAAAAGACCTTTTTTTTAATAGAAATGCTGATAACAGCTAAAATCACCGTCATCTGCTGTCTAGCCAACCCCCCCCCCCCAAAGCTGCTTAATGAGTCTGGGTGTAAAATAAAAGTCACAAAAGCGACAATTAAGTCATCTTTCCATCTTTGGAATAAAAATAACAGAAAGTTCACATAGACACTCCACATTATCTCTCTGAAGGGAGCTTGCCAAGCCTTTCCTCTCCAGTTCCCTGTGCTCTCAGATTTCTGATTTTTCCCATCAGTGGATTCTGGTCTGCAGGACTGAGAAATCCCAAGACTGTTGATCTTGAAGCTCCCAAATCCCAATGCCAAATTAAGACACTGACATTATGTGTTCTGGGGGTAGGGAGACAAATTTTTGGAGAGAATTCACAGGTAGACAGATCTGCATCTAGATTGACAGATCACAGATGACAGATCGATAGACACACAGAAATAGAGAGCTATATAACAGCTCCTATCGAGCTTCATTCCTTTCAGTCATCGCCCTATTTTTTCATCATCAGAAATCTCCATGTATTGCATATTTGGCAGAGTGCATGGACAGAAACTGAGGAAACACCAAAATAAAAACAACTGCCTTCCCTCTCCTGACAAGGGAACCCCTGGCTTCCAGCTCCACGTCGTTGGCACTGGCCGCAGGCTCCGATCCGGAAGGGGGGCTCCTTGGAAGAGGAATCAAAAACGCCCCTTCCATGCACGCCGGGCACGGGTACCACCGCGCTTCGAGGCCCCCGGCCCCGCGCGATCCCTCGGATAGGGCCCGGCTCCCCAGGGCTGTGTGCTCCGCTCCCGGCCTCCAAGGCGCCTCGCGCTAGGAGAGGGCAGCTCTTTTCAGCACCACCGCCTGTCCCACCGCGCACCGGGCAACAAGTGTGACCCGGGTCACCGGACGCCCCGCCGGGCGGCTACCCCCAGGCGCACCCTCCTTCCCGCTCGGAACTCCCCCGGGGCCCGCACCCGGCCCGGCCGAGGCCAGGGCCCCAGGCCGCCGCGGAGCGGGCGGGAGCGGCAGGGGGCGCAGCCGAGGGGGCTGCCTCGGGCCCGGGTTCCGCCGCCGCCCCTCGGCGGGGCACGAGGGGCGCCTCCGCCCGGCCGGGCCGGGTCGGGCCCGGCTCACCTCCCGCGCGCGAGCCGGCTCTCTCCCGCGCGGCGCCGGCAGCATGGGGCACGCGGCATTCAAAGCGGGTTTGGGAGAAGCCGTTGGGAGCGGCTACCCCCGCGCCATTGTACTCACTTCTCATTCGGAGCCGGGCTGCGCGCGGCGCGCGGCTCGGGCAGGCATCGTCCCCGGCTTTGTTTTACCAGGTGGGGAGCGCGAGCGGGTGGCCGCGGGAGGGGGTGGGAGCGCGAGGAGCCGCGGAGCCGGGAAGGAGGGGACGCCGGCGGGCCGGGCCGAGGGCGAGGCGAGGCCAAGTCGGGCTCAGGCGCCGCCGCCCCCGCGCGCGCCTGCCCCGCTGCCGGGCCCGGGTCCCCCGGAGCGCGCGGGCCCCCCGGCTCCCGCGCCGGCCGCCGCAGCCGCCGCGCGCCCCGCCCCGGGCTCGTCGCTGGCCCGGCCCCGGCGCGGGGTGGCGGGGGCGGCGGGGCGGCCGTGCGCCCCGGTCGCCGTGAGCGAGCCTCGCGCGGCCCCGCGCCGCATGTCTCTGTGCGACGTCCCCGGCCCGGCCTCCGCGCCCCGAGGGGAGGGGCGCCCCGCGCCCCCCGCCCCGCGCTCCTGGCCGGGGGCGAGCCTCTCGCCCCTTGCCCGCTCCTCCCTCCGACGCCCGCCCCTCCCCACCGCCCCCTCCCCCGCCGGGGCTCGCCTCTCTGCCCCCCATCCCCTTATAACCCAGCCCTCATCGGCGGCGCGGGTGCCGCGGGCTCCCAAGCCCCTCTCCTGCCTGTGGGTACAGCCCTGGCTCACCTGCGCCTCAGGCGCCCACCAACCCTTCCACTAATGCGGCCCCCTCCCCAGTGCCTGGTGCTCAGGGCCAGGCCCCCGGGGCTCCACCCCATCTCCTGCCTGTGTGGGACTCAGCTCTGGGGCATGGGACTCCGGCAAGAGGACATCCTGCCCTCCTTGCCCACCCTTCAGCATGGCAAGGCCAAATGCCCCCATGGGCGCGGGCACTGCGGGGGGTGGGGGGGGGTGCCGGGGGGAGGTGGGGAGTGGTGATAAGGAGACTACCTGTTTGCAGTGTGAGCCTGGGGAAGGCATGTGGCCTCAAGCGCGTGCGTGCACACACACACACACACACACACACACACACACCCCATCTCCAAGGGTGCTGAACCTGGACAGGGAGTTCTGATCCAAAGAATGTTCTCAACCAGAAAGGATGGCCTGGGTGAGGGCATCTAGGATGCAGAGGGCACAGTGGTTATGTTCTCAGGGTGAGGCCCCTTGCTGGGGACAGAGGTGGTGAAATATCAAAGTGCAGTCAGTGGGGTGAGAGATCTTTGACCTCCAAAAGCACTGGGCGCTCCCCTACTGCTCCCCATCAAGATCCTGGTGGGCAGGTACCAGACCCCACCTGGACTCTACTGCAGTGAGGGCTGCTAAGATGGCCACCAGGGTAGGTTCAAAACTGGTGGAGCAGGGAATGAATGCAAGTAGTGTGGGGGCGCAGCTGCTTTAGGTGAGTCTTCACCCCATGCACTTGCTGTAGGGGAACTTCAGCCCCTTTGTAAACTTTCTCTTCCTTCCCATTTTAGCAGCCAGAATCACCACTGACCTCCCACCCTCACCTCCACTGATGCCTGAGAGTTTATCTTCCAGAAAGGTTACTCTGCCTGATAGAGTGTTTTCCCATTACAAAACTTCCCCAGGACAGTTGGGGACCCGAGGAGGTAGGGTCCTTATTTTAAAAATGACCCTGTAAACCTTTGGCAAGACTGTGGCCAGAAGAGATGAAAAGATGCCAAATGATGTTTAAAATTCCAGAATAGATTCAGCACACGCACCTCTACTTTAAAAAAAAAAAAAAAAAAAAGTCTTCCTTATTAGGAATTCCTTCCTGCTGGAATTGAAACATGTTTTTCTCGACTTCTGCTCTCAATAATAATATAATCGGATGTCCTTTTTAAAATGTGAATCAGATCCTCTCAGTCCCCTCAAACCTTTCCAAACTCTAGGTCACATTATTATACGCTTCCTGATCTGGCTACTCACTTCACTCCAGGCTCTTCCTGGGACTGTTACCTTCCACATACACCCACCTTCCCCAGTCCTTGCCCAACTTTACATGACTAAGGCACTGTCTTAGTGGGGCTTTCCAGAGGGTCAGAACCAACAGGAGACAGACTGACAGAAGTATATAACAAATTTATCTTAAAGTACTGGTGCACACAATTTTGGGGACTGGCAAGTCCATCTGAAATCCCCAGGAGAGCTCTGGCAGGCTAGAAGCTCAGGCAAAAATTGATGCTTCTGTTTTGAATTTTCTTTTCTGGGAAACCTCAGTAAGACCTTCAGTTGATTATAAGAGATCCATCACATCCAGGGTAAGCTTACCTTAAAAGCTGTCGTTGACAAACCTGTACACCTCACAGCAACTCTAGACAGCATTTGATGAATGAACTGGGCACCAGAGCCTAGCCCAGCTACACATAAAACCCTGCCCTGTATCCTGCAGATCTCTCAGATATCCACAAGTTTCTTTTGAATCTCGGCTAGTCAGGTATGTGCCTGTTTGCTTCCCAGAAAAACTGGGGCTTCTGTCTTTGCACTTGTCACCCTGTGCTGTGTTTCTTTAAACTGGACTGTAAGCTCAGAGAGGACACAAGCATCCCTCTTAGCTCCCCAAAGTATCCCCACAGAGTGACACTGAACATGCACCATTGCTGGCATCCTGCACCTGGTCTCCCTCCAGGCATTTGCTCCCAGAGAAACTCCACATTATAAGAAATGGGAGGAATTCTCTACCTGCAGGTTTTCCACCACTCTCAGAGTCTCTGTTCTCCAGATGAAATGATCCCAATATCTTGAGTATTCTATTTTGGTTTTGACCTTTTCTCCTTCTGTTCAAGGACTTGTTGATTCCCTTTTGCTCCTTCTGGGTCTTTGGAGAGTTAACCACACCTTGTGAGCACTCTGTCAAACTGGCCAGTGCTTATCCCGGTGTGGTGCAGTAACTACACCCTGCAGTAACATGGTGATTGACTCACAGTGGAAATATGCCAGTGCCGGGCACCCCCTATCCCAGATTCACCTTCAGTCCCAAATGCTGGGTGGCCATTTCTTGATGTTTTCTGTCCATCACATGTAGTAGTTATCCTCCACCTTCCCCACTGCATTATTCTCCCATTTGTACATATATATGCCATTTATATTTAATATAACTTTTAAAAATTTCAAACCATAACATTATAAGGAGTCATTCCAACAACCCAGCCTCAGCCTTCCAGATGATTAGGAAGAACCTGGAAGCCAGTCCCCTCCCTGACTCTATCCTGCTCTGCACTGCATAGTTCTCCCTGTGCAGTGGAGTGGATGGGTCTCCCCCACAAACGAGGGGACTCCCCCACAAATTGCTCAACTAAATACTCCTTTGCCTTTAAGAGGCTTTTTATGTCAAACACATACCTACTTATCTTGTTTGAAGGAAGGGAAAAAAGGAAATAGCCCAATTTGTACATCATTACAACCAGAGAAACGAGGAAATGGCTGTTTATGCTTCCAAGGTGATGCCGCATTACTCGGTACACAAACCCATGCAAGGGAGTTGAAAGGCAAAGTAGACTTTCTTTCTTTCATCTGTTCAACTAGCAGCTCACAATCAATCTAAGGACTTGGCTTTCATGTTTATTTTGCTTTTGACCTTGGCATACTCAAAATGTCATTGAAAATTAAAAGGCCAGCCACTGCTTTCCCCAGAACTCGGATCAGGCTTGGAATTGCGGAGGCCAGAGTGACATCTGTGGGTCTCCTAGTGCTGCCACTTCTGAACCGCCTGAGTTTGAGGGACTCTGTCTCTGGCCATCACTTTCCTCATCCAGAAAACAGAGCTGAATTCATGAGCAATGTGGTAAGAATTAAAGTGAGACAACATAGGTGGCCATCTCTGTAGGGCCTTTATTGTTCTGACCTAATGCCATGAAGCTGGAGCATCCTCACCACTCAAGGCCACCAACGAATTCCATCTCATAATGACTCTTGGTATTGATTTGATTTTTTAGCTAACACAATTGCACAGATGAGGAAGGCCGAGTTACATTCCTCAAATATGTAGCCAAAAAACACTGGGTGCCCAAGAAGAGCTCGCTCCCTACAGCGGGAGCTGTGTTTATGAAGATGCTGTCTAGCGAAGAAGGTGCTCCACAAACATAACATTTAAGTTCTGGCAAGTGCATGACGAAAGAAACAGGCAGGGAAGTGTGAGAGGCTGAGGCTGGTCAGGGAAGCCCTTCCGGGGAGCAACTCTCAAACCCAGCCCTGGAGCCAAGCAAAGGTGGAGACAGCAGCATGATGGGAGGGAAGGGTTTCCTTGCAGGAAGGAAGGGCATGCAGAAAGTCTCAGGCAGGAAGAAGCTTGGAGACTTGAGGGGAGCTGAAGGATGAGAGGGACTGAGCGCAGACCAGACCTTTGGCCTCAAGCTGGAGCCGCTGCCTCAGAGTCGCCTGCAGTGCCTTGGGGGTGCAGAGAGCCAGGGCAGCCCAGAGTTCCCGTGATGGGGCCTGCAAGCAGGCAGGACAAGGGGGCCAGGTGGGCTGGTGTGGCTAGTGGACCGAGCACCCTGGGAGAACCTGGGTGAGAAGCAGGAGTAGGGCCCATTCTGCGCCATCGCTCACAGTCCTGAGGCCCTGTCTGCGATTGAAAAGTCTGGGGAGACAGGACTAAGGTCCCAGCCTGCGAGGCTGGCTGTCACAGCCTACCCAGCCCACTTTCAACCTCAAAGCAAACGGTGCAGTAGCTATGTTCATTTGCAGCACACCTGCCTGCTCTCCTGCTCTAAATGAATATAGTTATTCACCATTCAACTAGTACTTAGTTTATTTCTTGTTAATGGTATTATTATTTATACATACTTTGAAATTTTTATTTATAAATGAAATATATTCACTCATTCACACTAGTATGTAGTTCATTCTTTATAAGTTGTCATTTATAAATTGAATTTTTTACTCATAAATGAAATCCAGTCACTTTTCAACTCGTATGCAGTTCATTTTTTATAAATGGAAGATTATCAATAATTGGGCATTTTTATTTATAACTAAAATTAGTCACTCATTCAACTAGTGTTTAGTTTTATTAAAGGCAATTATTAAAAAAAATAAAATAAAATAAAAAAATAAACGAGCCCAGTAGAAATGGGCTGCATTGTAGAGTTTATTCAGCCAGGAATAGATTAAAAAATTGATTTTTTTTTAATCAA